CTCTCATCATTCATGAAAATACATTTATACATGTTATGATTATATGAGTTTAATGATCTGTTATGGATATGGGTACTGAGAAGATATCTCCTAACTTTTGCCTTGCAGCTCTGTCATCAGATTTGTAGCAGTGATTCTTCTTTAACGTCGTTTCTGTTATAAAAGAACAATATATACAAACAAGGTATGTCGTCTGTTATAGATTCTAGTGATATTCCAGTGATTTGTCTTTAACGTCATTGCTATTATAAAAGTATGTCAGTATGTCGCCTGTTATAGATTCCAGTTATCTAGGTTTGGCCTTGGGCCTTGTTTGTATATATTGTTCTCCTTTCTCTCTCTCCATTGAAATGATTAATTACATGTTCTCTTCGATCTCCTACCTACATCTTGTCATTTGTTTTTAAGTTCTCTCTCATTTTTTTAAAAAATATTTATATATTTTTTTCTACTCCTATTTTGTCATCTCGCTCTCTCTCTTCCCCTTTAATGAAATTCTATTATTAGCTTATTATTATCAAGTGTATTTGTCTCTGAATTGAGGTCTTCGTCTTTCCCTTCCTTTGACTACTACCGGGCTGCTTTGGTTTCATTGGCTTTAAATCAATATTAACATTTTTAATTGAATAGTTTATATATTTAAGAATTGCTTTTTGCATATATGATTATTGTGATCACATCTGTGGTGATGCTGTAATTTTTTTGTATGAGACTCTAATGTAATTTTCTATTATGACATAACTTGTTTTTTATGCTCCTTATTAGAAGTTTGACTTTAAATTTTTTTTACATACATAGTTATTTTTGGTTGGTTTTGTGGGTCTGGACCATTGATACATTGGATTAAGTTGACAAGCTTGGGATTCTAGAGTTACTAAGAGCGGCTAATAGAATTTTTTTTTTTTTTTTTTTTTTTCCTAAATGGAGTAAGTTTTATGAATAATATCAATAATGTACAAAGAAACTATGACTGCATACCCTCATGACAAAGGAACATACTCCTACAGAGAGAAGAAGACAGTCAAGGATAGACCCCTTGACAAAAGAAAACCATAGACAAAGATACTGACAAAGCTATAAATCTAACTTATCAAACTTCTCCAACCAAAGAAAGAAGAAAACAGCAAAAACAAGAGATTTTGCAGCTTCTTACATTGAACATCTGGCCAGGAGAAAAAGACAACACTTGGACATACATCTAAGAACATTCTAAATGTAAAGCTCTGATAAACCAGTCCAAATATGCCATAAGATCAAAGACACAGCAACCGCAATAAGAGACTACTAAAATACAGCAGCAGGGCTAAAAACAAACCCCTATGCTCTCAAGCCCTTTCATGAAAGGAAGAGCCTGCGCATCTAGCAGCTTCAAACATTGAACTTCTGATGAGGAGAGACAAACATCTTTGAACATATTCTGTAACTACAGAATTTGCCGAATAAGTTTGAATTAACTTTAGAGATGGCTTTTTAGATGCTTTCACAATCATCTAAAATAATTTTAAAACACATGAAAGAGCGAAAATAATTTTTGCAATGATAGATAAGCTCTAATTAAGGCTATAACAACCTTGTTGGAGGCTTTTCCCTGTCCTAAAATGAGATTAAAAAAAGTTTTATGTAAATTAAACTTGTTTACTTCTATTAATTTTGGGTTTTTTGTATTAACATTTACCTATAAGAATCTCAATAAAAAAATGCTTTTCAACCTTCATTGTAATTTGAAAAGGGAATTTGTGGTTTTTCTGTGTCATCGTGTACTTGTATGCTTGAATCAGTTTCCTCTTGAGAGGAGCTTCTGTGATGGGTTTCTTCAGTCACTCTATTGAAATCTGGTTCTGATAAGTTGTTTTGCGAGAAAAAACTGATTGTCTCTTTGCTGTGGACTTCTTCTTCCTCATCAATTGGGCTTTTCTGAATATAATCGACATTGTGCTCCTTTAGGAATAACATGAATTCTTTAAAATTCTCTTCTGTTGGAAGATAATGCCCACTGTGAGGCCAGACTGCCTATTGAATTCAATAGTCGGATTAATATACAAAATAAAAGTGCCTTAAAAAGGATCCAAAGAAGCTATAAAAAGGAAAATAAATAAAAGGATGTGGCACAGTTTTGTACACTTAGAATTCCATCTTCGACTACTAATCTACCAGCACATAACATACCCCAACTGAATAGAAGTAGCAGGGATAAAAACACAAAATCCAAAATACACATACAGCCCACTCCAAAGTACACCCCCATGTTCTCAAGACCCTTCAAGAAAAGAAGAGCATGCACATCAGTAACTTCATACATTGAACTAATACACATACAGCCCACTCCAAAATACACCCCCATATATATGCATCTATTAATCTTTTTATTAATAAGTTTTATTATTTTTATTTACTAAAAGTCTTGTAAAATTGCTAAAATAATCAAAACACTTATTAAACTCTCCATTAGTACCTAGCTAATCAATTAATAATTAAGGACAATAAAAAAACAAATTAATTGACCTAAGTCACACACCTGTTATTTTATTGTCGCTAGCTGCTGAAAGCACCTCATTCTCTCTCATCCTGGTCTCAAATGGAAACTGGAATCTCCTCTTTCTTTTATTATATTTTCTTCTCTCTCAACAAAAACGTGAAATGATTAATGATTTTAATTTATTTTTACATATTGTGGGGTCCAACATAAGTGCATGAGTCTTTTTAAACTGTGACTTAGTTAAATGGGTGAGAATTCTATGAAAATTCATTAAAAACATTTATATAATTAATTAAAAGTCTATATATATATAAAAAAATAACATTCCTAATTTTTTTAGTTTAATTCACGTTGTTGTTGATGATGTTTGCAAATGTAGATGGACAAGAGTTGGATCCAACTTCCTAGGATTGATCCGCACTATGCAAAAGGGATTAAAGATTTTATTGAGGTGGCTAAGGCCTATGTAGATGACAAGAATAGGACTAGGTGCCCATGTTCTAAATGCAAAAACATACTATATAGAACATTACCTGAGGTTAAAGGACACTTGTGTCAAAATGGGATGGACAAAATGTATACTCGCTGGGAATGGCATGGAGAGGGGTATGGTATGGCTAATAATAATAGTTCAGAGGAAGAGGTTGAAGAAGAAGAAGATGGTGATGAGGTAAATGAGTTGTTGGAAGACATTTGCATGGGACCTTTTGTGCAAACAGAAATGACAGATGTTCAGCAAGGGTTGGATGATGCTTTGCCAAATTCTAACATGGGACATAATAGGTTTCAAGATTTATTACAGGATGCACAACGTGAGTTATATCCAGGATGTGAAAATTTTTTAAAATTATCGTTCGTTCTAAAGTTATACAATATGAAAGTAACTCAGAAACTGAGCAACAAATATTTCACTATGATGCTAAAGTTGGTTAATGAAGCAATGCCCAAAGGTGTTGAGCTTCCAAAGTCACATTAGGAGGCAAAGAATATGTTGCGTGAATTAGGTTTTGGGTATGAAGTGATACATGCTTGCATAAATGATTGTATTTTATTTTTGAAAGAATATGAAAATAATGAGTTCTGCCCTCGGTGTGGTGAGTCTAGATACAAATCTCATGAAGGCAAGGGTAAAAAAATACCACAAAAGATTCTTAGATACTTTCCTTTGAAGAGCAGGCTTCAGAGGTTGTTTATGTCAAGAAAAATATCTTCAGATATGAGGTGGCACAAAGAGAAACGTGTTAAGGAGACTAATATATTCAGACATCCCGCAGATTCTATGACTTGGGAGGAATTTGATATAAGACATCCTTGGTTTTCAGCAGAACCTCGTAATGTTAGACTTGGTCTAGCAAGTGACGGATTCAATCCATTTAGCAACATGAGTAATTCATATAGCATGTGGCCAGTAATGGTTTTTCCATACAACTTGACACCTTGGAAATGCATGAAAGAACCATATTTGTTTATGTCATTACTTATTCCTGGACCGAGATCACCAGGGAAGGAAATTAATGTGTACTTGAGACCGTTGATCGATGAGTTAAAAGAGTTATGGGTGGATGGTGTAATGACTTATGATGCTTCTACTATGTGTACTTTTAGATTGCATGTGGCATTATTATGGACAATAAATGATTTTCCAGCATATGGAGATTTGTCTGGTTGGGTCACAAAGGGGTATATGGCATGTCCTGTTTGTAACTTTAATGCATCTTCAATACGTTTGGAGCATGGGAAAAAGATTTGTTGGTTTTGCCATCGTCGTTGGCTGCCACTAGACCATAAATGGCGAAATTTATACGAACAGTTTGATGGTAACAAAGAAAGGAGGTCACCACCTAAAGAATTAACTGGTGATGAGTTGATTCAACAGTTGCTTCAAATTAGGTTCGCCGACTTGGGAAAAGGACCGACTAACAAAAAGAGGAAGCGTGCCAAATCCGAGTTAAATTGGACTAAGAAAAGCATATTTTTTGAATTGTCATATTGGCAAGGCCTCAAACTGAGACATAATCTGGATGTTATGCACATAGAAAAAAATATATGTGATAATATATTAGGGACATTAATGAACATTGAAGGAAAGACAAAAGACACAATGAAATCTCGTTTGGATTTGCAATTAATGGGTATAAGAAAAGAGTTGCATCTTACTCCTAGTGGCAATAAGTTTCTTATGCCCCTGGCATGTTATACATTATCTACTGATAAGAAAAAGAGCATATGTGAATGGTTGAAGGCAGTAAAGTTGCCAGATGGGTATGGTTCCAATATATCTCGGTGTATTAATAAAAATAATCGTACTATATCAGGTTTGAAAAGTCATGATTGTCACGTACTTCTCCAGCGTCTTCTTCCGGTTGCTATTCGTGGACACATATCCGATAATGTATGTAATGCATTGGTTGAACTTGGATTATTTTTCAAAGAGTTGTGTTGTAAGACGTTGTAATTATGGATTGAGTTTGAATTACACACACAAATATGTTGATATACATGTTTTTTGATTAATTATCATGTAGAATCGCAGTGAGACAAACAAAAAGAATAGGGACAAGGTGAAGACTAAGAATTATGGTGGCTCGAAAGCGTATGTTCAGTACCTGGATGAGATGGTAATGACAAAAGGCTATTCAAATCACATTTTAGTACTTTTTGAAAACTTCTTTATGCATTAATTTTTCAATTAGTTATACTTGTATAGTTAAAATATTCAACGCCCTTATATTTTGGTGTCTCCATTTAAAATAATATGTTTTATACATTAACTAAACTGAAATGTGTGAAGTTATTCAAAACTGTTTTAGTTTCAACTTTAATGAGTTTTGTAGATGATTAATTTGATATAATAAGTTATATGTGTATATGTTCTAAAATTCAACATATATATATATATATATATATATATATATATATATATGTATTTGTATATACTGTGTATATGTATATAATATTTAGTATATGAAAATTATATGTATGTGGATACGAATATATTTGTAATTTAGTTTGAGTTCCCGCTAGCTTTTATTCCTTATTCGGTTGATTGTTAAGCTTTTTATAGCCCAGTTTGTTCATTTTACTTGCTTATATATCACAGCTTAATAATGAAACTGGGGAAGATGGAAGTGTGATTGAATTCTATGCAAAATCACATATCAAGGAAAATGGGGAATCTATTGATGAAGAGGCTGAGAAGAATTATGTAAGAATGTCTTCATTGTTAATATTTTAGCTTTTATTTAAATTAAAGGATGGTGAACATTTAGAATGACAACTTCGCTTCTGAACATGTAGGCTAGAATGCTAGAAATGAAAAAAGTTGCAATTGAAATTGGAGAAGTAATAACCCACGAGAAAGAGGAAGAAATAATGCTTGAAGTGCTAGGGAATAAGTGTTCATTTTTAGATGGGCCTAATAAGGATATGCCAACTTTATCAATCTGTGCTACTCAAAAAGATGTGGATGTAGCTAATGCTAGGGCCGACAAAGCAGAAACGAATATGGACGAGATGAGACAAGAGGTGCAAGGGATGAGGGAAGACATGCAGCAACAAATTCAAGAGAAAGTGAAAGAGCCAATGCTTACTTTTATTGCAAATATTGGGCAGCCTTCCCCTGCACCCCAAAATTAATCTACTTTAGAGTTTTAGAAGGACAACTTTTTAAAATTAATTAGGTCTAATATTTTAGGACTTTGAATACTTTCTTGCAGTTTCTTGTTTTTTAATAATAAACCTATTATTTTTGGGATGATGCATCAATATTCCTTATGCCCTCTTTCTCTCAAATTGTTTGAAAACTCTCTTGTTTCACATTGGATATGGTTTTTGGAAGGATAATTTATGGTAAGTTAGCTAACTTAGAATCAATTTAATTTTTATAATTTTTTTTTTTATCAATAGTTTTACCAGGTATACAATTTATTTTGCAGGTAGTTCGTCTTGTTAAGAGAGTTGCTTCTTAATTTGTTGGAGTGTTCTATGGCAGTAAGTATTGCCTACCTTGTTTTTATTGGTACTAGGGGTTCACTTATAATGTAATCTATAGCATTTTCTTGTACGCAACATTATGGTAATTGAGTTGATATAATATTGTGAAAATACGTAAGCCATAATTGCTTCATTAATGAGGGGTTTTTATTTTTTATTTTTAAAATTATATTTCATGTTTAAAGTTCTCTTTAAGGGTGTACTGATATTTACACCTTCAATTGTTTCTTAGGAAAAAATTTGCTTTATTCTTTGGACCAGGAATTAATGCTGAAGTTGGTAAGTTTTAAATTTGTTGATTTTGATGAGATGTAATAATTTTTTATAAATGCATACAGCAGTCTTGGAGAATATGATATTACGAATTGTAGTATTTGTTTTTTGGTATAAAAGTTGAGTAATATACCAACAAAGCTGAAGACATATTACTTTTATTATCGTGTATAAAGAAAATTAAATTTCAGTACGTTTCTCTTCTAGTCAGTTTATGCAAGGCTACATTCTCGATCTATTCGTCCATTAAATTGCATATAATTAGAAAAAAAAAGTTTATATAATCTTACAAATTGTACACAATATTGTAATGACCTTTATCTTTTTGAATTGTAGAGCGATTAATTGGGATGACATGAAGAAAATGAAGTATTCATGACAACGATGAACTAAAGTGATGAGATTCCATACGAAGAACTTTGAGGTGCTGCCATAGAGGGAGAGTTAGGAGTTTGCTTTTATGTTTTAGTTTGGTCTTTAATTTATATTAGACAATTGGAAATTTAGTTTATATTTTGACTCAGAATTGAACAAATGTAGAAATTTATTCAAATTGATGTTAATTTTGTATTTGAACTCAGAATTATTATGTATTGCATAATAAAATTTAATGTTATGTTTAAATTTGTATTGCTATATAGAGTTTGAAATTTGTGGACCTGTGCTACTATTTGGACTTTTTTATAATATTAGCAAAAACGATAAGAAGTTTAGAAATTAAAGCATGCAAAAAATGGTTTTTAGCAATGAAAGACCATTGTCATTGGGTAAGTTAGTGACGAAAACTTTCGTTGATAATGCCCAATAAAATGTGACAAACATTTTAGTCACTAAAAGGCAAACAGATGTAACGAAAAGTATGTCACTAAAAGTCATGCAATAGTGATGAAAATGTGACAAACGTTTTAGTCACTAAAAGGCAAATAGATGTGACGAAAAATATGGTTGCTAAACGTCATGCAATAATGACGAAAATGTCCGTCACTAGAAGGCAAGCAAATGTGACGAAAAGTATGGTCACTAAAAGTCATGCAATAGTGACGTAAATTTTTTTGTTACTAAAAGCAAAGTCAATAGTGACGTAATTTGCATTCGTCACTATAGATCAACCGAGACGATTATATAGCAACGAAATATTGACAAATGATTTTTCGTCACTAAAAACTTTTAGCAACGAAAATTTAGTTTTTTGTGACGAAAAAAAACGTTGCTAAAACTCCATTTTGTTGTAGTGAAATTACGTATAAGTTGATTATTTTGGAGTCTTGGGACATTGTTACTGTGATATGGCTAAAGTTCAGCTTTAGTGCGGGAGGTATGAGTTCTCTCCAATTGAGATAGTGCGCACTAGGGTGGTCTTCCCAGCGGGTTAATGCCCAGAATAACCAATTTGTTCTTGGTTTAGTCCGAGACGTGATGTCCAAGTCTTCCACTATTTGTTTTCGCATTCAATTCCAAGTTATCAATCATGTTTATATTGTGACTGTGGTCTTGGCTATTAGCGATTTGATGTTGTTAAGTACATCCATACTAAATTGCTATATTTAGTTGATTTAGGATTCCAAGTTGATAACTTTGAGAATCTATATCTAGTTGCTTTGTGTAAGCTTGTTTCTATCTAGTTGCTTTGTGTAAGCATGTTTCTAACTAGTTGCTTTATGTAAGCATGTTATATCTTGTTGCTATGTGTAGCATACTCTTGTGTTGTTGAAATTGCATAAATGATTTGTTTTATGCTAGAAATGATCTTAGGTAGCTAGGATGTTCCTTGAGTCTCACCTTTGACATAGACGTTAGGTGGAATGAACCACAATGATTAAATCATGTACACTTGTAAAACGTAGGTCGATGCATGCTCATTTCTTACGAGTAGCTTTATGTTACTCACCCCTACGATACTGAGGCATATTTCAGGTACAGGATACAAGATTGGAGATTGCAATTGCTTGGGTGATTTGCTGAGTTGAGCTTCTTTAGAAATATTCTTGTTCACATGCAAGTGTTAGCATGTTCATGATTTGTCTATGAAATGTAATTTTTCTAACTTGGAGGTCTGACATGTCAAATGTTGTAAATGAGTTGTAATAAGGCCATAGGCCATTGTAGCATGTTTAAAATACCATTTTACACTTGCGTGTATGTTCACATCATCACACAATAGCATATAATGCAATTTAATCATGCCATGGGGAGTCATTTTGATGCCTTAGGGATGACGTACATCTCTAGTGGCCACTTAGTTTCCTTCGTTTCTGCATTTTGGATTCGTTATCGGGTCATTCTTTTGATTCATCATAGGACACACTGGGTTAAAAAATCTAGGGTCGTCACAGCTAATTCTACAGAAAACAATTCGGAGGATTTCTCTGATGACCAGATTTTTCTCTAAAGCACAACTCGACGCAATACACCAAATGCTGGGGCGTGCTGGTTTCTCTGGTATATCAAATTCTTCTACTAATAATTCTGTTTCCACTAGCCACTTTGTTCAGTCAGGTACTAACCCCACTGCCCTCCTGAGTAGCGCCAATAAACCTTGGATTATAAACTCTGGAGCTACAGATCACATGACTGATAACTCCTATGATTTTCTAACATATAACCTGTGTTCAGGCAAATATAAGGTTAAGATTGCCGATGGGTCATTTGCTCCTATTCATGGAAAAGGTTTTATCCCTATAACCGATACTCTGTCTCTCTCGTCTGTCCTACATGTCCCGAATTATACCTGTAATTTTTTATCCATTAGCAAAGTCATAAAAAATCTAAATTGCTCAGTGACTTTTTTCCTACTTCTTATGTGTTTCAAGATCTAGCCTTGGGGAAGAAGATTGGTAGTGGTGAAGAGAGAGACGGGCTGTATTATCTGCATCCTAGAAAGGTGATTGCTCAGGCCCATACTTCAGTCAGTAATAAAGAAAATCGGATATGGTTACTCCATTTCAGATCTGGTCATCTGAACTTTAAGTCTCTTAAAGTGTTATATCCTGATTTGTTTTCTGGTTTAGATCTTTCGATTTTTCAATGTGAAATTTGTGCACTTTCTAAGAGTTACCGCGTTCCTTTTCCAATTAGTAATAAAATTTCTGCTATTCCTTTTTCTATAGTTCACAGTGATGTTTGGGGACCCTCCCATATCCTATCCTTGTTTGACTTTAGATGGTTTGTCAGTTTTATTGATGATTGCACTCATACTTCTTGAATTTATTTGCTTCGGAAAAAATTTGAGGTTAGTAATATTTTCAAGTCTTTTCATATGATGATTATAAATCAATTTCGCACCAATATTCAGGTTCTTAGATCCGATAATGGGGGGGAGTATTTCAATGAAACCTTGGGAACATATCTAAATGAAAATGGGATTTTACACCAATCTTCATGCATTGATACCCGTCAATAGAATGGGATAGCTGAGAGAAAAAATAGACACTTACTTGAAGTGGCAAAAACCTTAATGTTTTCTAGGAGTGTACCTAAGTGTTATTGAAGCGACGCTATCATTGCGGCAACTTACTTGATCAACCAAATGCCCTCCAAAACACTCAATATGAAAACTCCGATTGCCTGCGTTAAATCCTTTTCCACAAATGAAAGCATTTCCAATAGCCTTCCTTTAAAAGTCTTTAGGTGCGTTGCTTACATTCATCTTCCAAGTAGAAAAAGGTCTAAACTGGATTCTAGAGTACAAAAATGCATTTTTCTTGGTTACTCCCCAAACAAAAAAGGCTACAAACGTTTTCATCCTCCCACGAAGAAATACTTTGTCACAATGGATGTCAAATTTTTTGAAGATCTCTCTTACCATCCTAGGTCCAATCTTCAGGGGGAGATTAGTGATGCCAAGAAAGATCTTTCCTATGATCTCTTAATAAATCTTGATTCTGTTCCTAGTACTCTACCAGAACAATCGATTCTAAGGAAGGATCTTCAAGTTCAAACAACCAGAAGTGAACAGAATTGTGTTTCAGCCAACCACTCCACTTGTGTACTCACGAAGAAAATCTGGTCAGACTATACAACCCGACACTCTCACCCACAATCAATCTTCAACTCCGGAGTTAGAAAATGAGCACCCGGTGAGTCCTCGGTCAGGTAGTTCACCTAATCCTTTTTTGCCACAGGTTGATAAAGATTTAAATATTCCTATAGCTATCCGAAAAGGGGTGAGGTCATGTACCACTAAACATCCAATTTCCAATTTTTTATCTTATCATCGAATTAACCCCTCTTTCAGGCTTTTATTTCTCAAATTTCTACAGAAAATATTCCTGCTAATATTTTTGAAGCTCTAAAAGACCTGAAGTGGAGAGGAGTTGTTCTTGAGGAAATAAAAGCTCTACAGAAAAATGAAACTTGGGAAATTATAAATCTACCTAAAGGGAAGAAGCCTGTGGAATGCAAGCGGGTTTTCATGGTGAAGTATAAATCAGATGGGTCAATAAAAAGATACAAGGCGAGACTCATTGCCAAAGGGTTCACTCAAACCTATGGCTTAGACTATCAAGAAAATTTTGCCCCGGTTGCGAAAATGAACTCAGTAAGAATTTTGTTTTCTCTTGCTGTCAATTTAGATTGGCCTTTACATCAATTTGTTGTAAAAAATGCATTTCTTCATGGTAATCTAGAAGAAGAGGTTTAAATGGATTTACCTCCTAGTTTCGGAGATTCAAACGTTGGGAAGGTTTGCAGGTTAAAAAAATCTTTAAATGGGCTAAAGCAGTCTCCTAAAGCGTGGTTCGAAAGATTCTCAAAGTTTCTCATAAAGTGTGGCTTCTTACAAGGTCAAGGAGATCATACATTATTCTTCAAGCATTCTCTTCATCAGAAGATTACAATTCTCATTGTCTACGTTGATGATATTATCGTGATAGGGGACAACATCGAAGAAATTAAAGATATGAAGACTTAACTTGCAAAAGAATTTGAAATTAAGGGCCTCGGAAATCTTAAATATTTCCTAGGTATGGAAGTAGCAAGGTCAAAGGATAATATGTTTGTTTCTCAAAGAAAATACATTTTTGACTTGCTTAAGGAAACGGGATCTTTAGGAAGTAAACCAACAATGACTCCAATTGATTCGAATCATAGATTGGGACTTAACAGTGAAGAAAATCCAGTTAACAAAGGGATATATCAAAGGCTCGTCGGGAAACTGATTTATCTATCCCACACAAAACCAGACATTGCCTATGCTGTAGGGGTTGTAAGTTAATTTATGCACTCTCCCTTGGAGTGTCATATGGAAGTTGTTCAAAGAATTCTAAGGTATCTAAAGGCTACACCAGGTAGAGGACTTCTATTTAAAAAATCTGAATATCTCCTAGTGGAAGTTTACACAGATGCTGATTGGGCTAGTTCAATCACTGATAGGAGATCTACAATAGGTTATTGTACTTTCGTAGAAGGCAATCTGGTTACTTAGAGGAGCAAGAAGCAAAATGTAGTTGCCAGGTACAGTGTAGAAGCAGAA